CATTCCACTCACCAATCACATTCCACTGTAGTAAAGATCCACCAATCATATGCCGCGGCCTACAAGAAGCACCAATCCGGAGAGAGAAGAGGCTCAGGGAGGATGCGCATTTCTCCCCAGTCCCCGCCCACACGCGAGAGAACCAATCATGTGCCGCTAGCCACAAATCGGGGAACATCCCAGAATGTGGAGTCTGCTAGAACAGTGGCGCCGCGTTTGTCATGAGAAACGAGATGAACTGTTCGTTTTAAAATATATTTTTTCCCTGTGCAATGAGAAAGGTTCACTTAAAATTCATACTTTCGATAAAGTATTGGTTGATTCAATTTGCATGATTTTATTTCATATTGTTTTAATATATTTGACGTCGGATAACAACATTTTTACACTTATACAATCAAATATGTATACACTTAAATAAATATGGATGTACTAAATACAAAAAAGAGTGCAAGACATATCAATTATCGACAGTTTTATATACGTAATCGTCGAAAAAACTATATAAATGAATATATGTTTGTATATGTGTATATATATATAATATATAGAATATTTTTTATATATTTCTACATATAAATATGTGTGTATGCATATGTATACATACACACACACATACAGGCATATATATAAATATGTGCAAATTCGCATGAAAATTGCACGCATATGATGTGTGTACGTACTGTACATGCACATCGCCCATAGTCTTTGCCTATGCACGAACTACAAGGCAGCAGTCGGACATCACTATCGTATCTAAGTAAGACTAACCCAAAATATGCAAATCCCTGCGCTTGCTTGCATCATTTGCATGTATAATTTCATATATATATATACATATATATATATATATATATATATATATATATATATATATATATATATATATATATATATATGTATGTATACACACATACACACACACACACATATGTATATATATATATATATATATATATATATATATATATATATATATATATATATATATATGTATATATGTATATATATGTACATCTATATGCATTTCCCTCTATATATGTGTATATATGTATATATATAAATATATATATATATATATATATATATATATATATATATGTATATATATAAATATAAATATATATATATATATATATGTATATATATAAATATATATATATATATATATATATATATATATATATATATATATATATGTATATATATAAATATATAAAAATATATATATATATATATATATATATATATATATATATATATATATATATATATGTATATATATGTATATATGTATATATATACATATATATATATATATATATATATATATATATATATATATATATATATATATATATATATATATATTAGGGTCTGCCCCCCAGTGAGGAAATCTACTTTCTCCGTCGCCCTCTTCACCCTCTCAATGGCAGGCTGATCTTTTGCCGGGTTATCACTCTCCGTCGCAACCTGGTCCACACCAGTCCTCCCTCTTCCTCGAAGGTGGGCACCTATGCTGTTCCTTGTGCCTCCTGTGATAACCAATACTTTGGTGAAACGGACGCGTTTCACTAAGCGTGTCTCAACATAAGTACTCTGTTTCCAGAGGACACAACAACAACGCCCTCTTTTGCCATCAGTGGGGCTGTTCATAGGCGCGAATTATTGTTCCTTCCGCGGATGTCCGCGCCCGCAGACTGGTGGATTCCTCCTTAATAAAGCTGCTGCCTAATTTCAACTTGAACAGCGGCTTTTCTCCTGCCGATGGTCTCGCTTCCCACATCCTCCGCCTTCTCCCGTATGCCGGCCTCCCTGCGCATAGTCCGCCCGTCCGACCTGATCTGACCTTCCTTCGCCTCCGTTCGTTTGTCCTCATCTGCCCTGTGTTATCGCGTTGATAAGGATAAGTCCGATATGCGAAGCTGAGCCTCGCCCGGGCTATGGGGGAGCCCGGCCTGTGCCGACTAATGTCGACTCGCTAACAGTGTGTCAGCAGGTGCTGACTCGGCAGAGCTTAGTCCTTACCCACCGTGGTGCCCAGCCACAGCAGTAACCTCCAGGCGACAATTGCAACTTCTCGCGCCTGGGCGGGGCGCGAACCGCCGACCCCTCGGATGAGAGGCCGACACGTTACCACTGTACTAGCCTGGAGGCTTATCGCATTGAATCTCCTCTCTATTTTATACTCCCTCCTCTTCATAGTGTTTCGGAATCCACCTGGATTCCATCCTCAGACCTGAGGATGGAATCCAGGTGGATTCCGAAACTGTCGTCTCACTTTCATTTTCAATAAATCTAGTTTTTACATTGTGGGTTTTTCTACCATAGTATCAACACGGTAAAGTGTTTTCCCCATTCATACTTGAAGATGAAATCCAGGTCTCATTATCAATAAATCAATTTTTTGCATTGTGGGTTTTTCTACCATAGTATCTACACGGAAGAGTGTTTAACCATTCATAGATATATAGCTATACTATATATATATATATATATA